CTCTCTCTCTCTCTCTCTCTCTCTCTCTCTCTCTCTCTCTCTCTCTCTCTCGTTCTCTCCCTCTTGCTTTCTCTTTCCCTCTCGAACACAACATAAACAAACACGCACGCACATACACACACACAAACACACACAGACAGACACACACATGTCCACACACGTCCACACACAGACGCAATACACAAATCTAGATGAACTCGAGTACAGTCCCATCATATCATCAGAGAGCCAACCACCTCCATCACTCCGGTTCGGAACTGCCTAGCGAATCAACGCTGGCGTTACCTACCAAAGTTTTCCAGTATCTCAGTTTCTTACTTGTGGGCTTAGGCTGGTTGGGGTTAGGCGTCTTCATGCCGTTGTTGCGCAGTATCTCCAATAACTCAAAGCGGAAGGAAGATACGTCCTGTTTGAGTTCATTTATGTCGTCCTCGCTAACCCCTTCGCCCTTCTGGGAGCCGCGCTGTTTCTGCATGATGTAGCGTTTGATCAGGTCTCTCATCACAGCCTGAAGAAGTATGATAAACAGGAATGGAGTAGGGAGAGGAGGTATTTAAAAAAAAATTAGTTTCGGTTCAGAGAGGGTTTCACGGCTCTAAAAAACTTAAACAGGTCTTGTAAGCTCATGTGGAGAGGCGGACCAAACTGTTGAACACATCCTTCAGCACTGCAAGACACACAGGGCCATGAGACACGAAACGTGGCCAACCCCACTGACGCTACAAGAGAAGCTATACGGGACGACAGATGAACTGAGCAGGACGGCCCGATTTATGACAGATACCAGACTTCAAGTGTGATGCGATCGAGAAGAAGAAGAAGATGTTAGAGCCGAAAATTGGAGAGTAACATACACAGAAAAGGAGGAGAGATAAGGACGGTAGATGCTTGATAGTAGAGAAGGAGCAAACCACACCAGGGCACCTGCCAACCACCCACACTCTGTTGTTATATCTCTGGAGCTTCTGTTCACTGGTATCTTGTTTTGTCAGCGCTTAATGACCTTCGTTGTGTCCACGTGCTTCTCTTTATTAGAACAAAGAAGACAAATGAATGCTTGAATATACTCGTACATAAGATAATACAAATATATCAAATAAAGTGTGTGTGTGTGTGTGTATATGTGTGTGTGGCATCTGTATGTATGTGTATGTGTGTGTGTGTGTGTGTGTGTTTGTGAGTGTGTGTGTGTGTGTGTGTGTGTGTGTGTGTGTATGTGTGTGTGTGTGCCCGTGTGTGTATTTGATGTGTGTGCACGTCATGCTCATGTGCTTTGTGTTGTGAAACTTTACATCTCAGATGAGTACTGAGCATTTCATACGGCGGAAAGAAAGGGAGTGAGGGCAAAAAAAAACGAAACAAAAATGATTTAAAAAGTTAT